TACAAATCCCAGCAATACATTATACAGCAATGCAGAATAATACTTTCAGGTAGAGAGGAGTACAAATCCCAGCAATACATTTTAAAGCAATGCAGAATAATACTTTCAGGTAGAGAGGAGTACAAATCCCAGCAATACATTATACAGCAATGCAGAATTATAGTATATTAAATTGCTACATACTCTTTGCTGCTCTGCCCTGGGGTGTCAGCCTGAAGGTCTCAGGAGAAGTGTGGAAGGTCTCAGAAGGGGTGGGGAGGGTCTTAGCAGGGGGGGGGGTGACGGAAGAGCTTTAAGCAGGCACCATGTGGTCCCCCAGAAGGCTGCTGCGTGGTCCCCAGCAAATTTGGGATCTAACGCAGCCGAATCAATTTGAAAAATTAAAGCGCCACTATCGGTTTTTAGTATCAGGGCACGTTCACCAATACTGGTATCAGTGCATCGCTAGTTTGAAGGACTTTGTAGGTGTCAAAAATCATGTGTAATAACACTAGCTAAGACCCTGTCACCCAGCATGTGCACCCAGTCTTGCTCCGCTCCCCTTCTGCTTTTTCTGAGTTTATAACACAGAGTTTATAACACAGGGCACAAAGGTCAGTGGTGTAACAGACAGTACAGAGCTCATCAGTGTAACACACCGTGTAGAGCTCAGTGGTGTAACGCACAGTAAAGAGGTCAGCAGTGCGATGCATAGTACAGAAGTCAGCAGTCTAATGCAGGGTACAGAGGTCAGCAGTGTGACGCACAGTACAGAAGTCAGTGGTCTAACGCATAGTACAGAGGTGTAACACACAGTACAGAGCTCAGCAGTGTGACGCACAGTACAGAGGTCAGCTGTGTGACTTAGAGTACAAAGGCAAGTATAAACGCACAATGCTGAGGTGAGTGGTGTGATGCACAGTGCAGAGGTCAGTATGTAATGCAGTGAAACGGTGTAATGTAGAGGTCAGAATGTAACGCAGTGCAGAAGTCAGCAGTGTAATGTAGAGGTCAGAATGTAACGCAGTGCAGAAGTCAGCGGTGTAATGTAGAGGTCAGAATGTAATGCAGTGCAGAAGTCAGCTGTGAAATGTAGAGGTCAGAGTGTAATGCAGTGCAGAGGTCAGTGGTGTAATGTAGAGGTCAGTATGTAACGTAGTGCAGCGGTGTAATGTAGAGGTCAGAATATAACGCTGTGCAGAGGTCAGCGGTGTAATGTAGAGGTCAGAATGTAATGCAGTGCAGCGTTGTTAATGAAGAGGTCAGAATGTAACGCAGTGCAGAGGTCAGCTGTGGAATGTAGAGGTCAGCATGTAACACAGTGCAGAGGTCAGCGGTCAGTATGTAGTGAGGTAAAGAGGTCAGCGGTCAGTAACGCATTGCATCGGTCAGCATGTAACACAGTGCAGTAGTCAGTATGTAACGTAGTGCAGCATTCAGCATGTAACGCAGTGCAGCGGTCAGCATGTAATGCAGTGCAGCGGTCAGTATGCAACGCACTGCAGAGGTCAGCATGTAACGCACTGCAGAGGTCAGCATGTAACGTACTGCAGAGGTCAGCATGTAACGCACCGCAGAGGTCAGCATATTCTAAAAATAATAAACAATAGTAAAATAATACATAAAATAATATTCAACTTTTTAATTATATTTGATTTCAGTAAACATTTGTGTTATTTCTTGATCGGTCATATTAAAATGACTGATGGAAAGCTGAGTGACATGGAAGTGATTCACTTCTGTCTCCTTTGGATTAAAACTCTACTCTGCTAGTAATATGGGGACATTTATTGGTAGGTCACTCTTGGGCTAGAAGGAGATTAAAGTAAAGTATGTCTTATGTAGTATATAATAGGGAAGGATTTCCTCATGGTAGCGGAATGCTGTCATTTAATCCGCATGACACAGACACTCTCCTTCTAGCAATGTGCAGTGACCTACAGATCAACGCAGGTCACTGCAAGGGCACATAGAAAACATTTTTTGTGCCTTCTTCTCACCAACACAATAAGGAGATGTGTGATGCAATGTGTTGCATTAAAGGTAATTCTTTTGATCCTTTCAGGAAATAGGAACCTTGACAACAGATAACATTAAAGCACATGCCAGTGCGCATAAAAACTCAATGCGACACACATGGAAATGCATGGTGATGCCTGCATTTTCAATGCGTTGCACTGGGTTTTTATGTGCAGTATGGTGTGAAAGGGCCCTTGGGTTTGATTTACTTCAAAGACAAAATTTTTCAGTTACTCCAATGAAGCAATATTTACTCTATGATGTTTACAAGTCTCCTGAGCACTGGTTCAGATATCCTGTTTAATGGTGGCTCCTTTCCCTTGCAGGGTCCTATGGAGCCATCCTTGTGTGTGCTAGTTAGCTCTGCGTGTCTCCACAAAGGCAGAGCACAGAGACTAGTACCGCAAGGCAAGCCACTCCCTGCTCACCCCCTTCATGTCCCTTCTCCAAGCTAATAAATGGACAGATGCTGGGGACTGCTCTGTCCCTTGTGATCTTGTACTGGACAGGAAATTCAGGGAAGCTGAGCTGAGAGAGCCAGCTGTTCAGAAAAATTATGACTGTAATTGTTTGCCCCACAATGTAAAGAAATACTTTGCTGGGCAATTCATTTTTTCTAAAATCTGGATTCATTAGTGAAAATTGTTTTGAGTGTTTCACAGTACATTAAGCATGTTTTAAAATGTTGTCGTTTATATCTAATCCCACAGACTGTGCTGCTCTGAATGTTAGAAAAGGACAGGAGGGAACCTGCACCGGAAGGTCCATTGCACACTAGTGTTTCTGTTGCTGGTGGTAATTCACCTGAGGTAGCTTTGCTAAAGAAGTAGAGAAAATACTCACCTTGCTGGCCAAACCAGCAAGGCATTGCTCCATCAATACTCCCTTGCTAATGAATCAGGTTCTACAGCCTTTCAGTCATCAAGGGAGAAACACAGTAAGAGCAGGAAAGTGTTCTATTTAACATTCTGTTGTTCACAAGTTGCTAGTGTCACATGACCCTTCACCTAACCCCCTTTAGCAGTCTTATAGTTTCATGCACCACTCTCACTCTCCTGGAAGCATTTTACAATATTCTGTCTGCCTGCACCCTTACTCTTGCAATATGCCGAGCTCTTCCTTGAACATTGACTCGCTCTGCAGTCTACACCCAACACCCTATGCTGCTGTCAATCAGGAGGCCAAGTGTCACTTTCTTACTAAAGCAATCTTATCCAGATGTACTGTAAGAACGCTCATGGGTAAATCAGTAGGATGCTCTAAAACTTTCAACTCAAAAGCAAGATCTGGCTTCCTAAACTAGCTACACTACAATTACAACTTAGAAGACATGAAGCCGATTAGAACTGCTGTAGAGTGTATTAGCACCAGGGGGCAGCCAAACCTCAGCTAAAAGTTCTCACACAGAACTTTCACGGAGGGTCTGAAGGTGCCCATACACCTTACAATTATCTGCAGATTTTCTGTGGTCAGATGGAAAAAGTGCAACAGATTGGCCCAGGTGGAGATTACTCCATCCACACAGTTAAGTGTAGATGAAGGAATCTGTTGCACCTTTTCCATCTGACCACAGAAAATCTGCAGATAATTGTAAGGTGTATGGCCAGCTTTAAGAGCTCACAAAGTCTTAAAGCCTTATTTCTAAAAATACTAAGCTACACATCAGCAAAGCTCCAAAGTGGTGCAAATTTAGACCAGCCGTAAATATCAGACCAGGTCTGGGAAAGTTTTTTGGTACAAAGTTTCCAATGATAGTAACAATGTTTCTGTATGCAAAGGTCATTTATTCTCAAAACAGTGTGGGGTATTGATGTTTTGGGTACGGAAATTTGCATGTGTTTTGAGTATCGTAGGATAGAAACATAAAAATGGAAAAGATAGTTTGTTTGATGGAAAATTCCTCAATCTAAAGATTGTCTTTTTGGGTGATATTTATCTAAGAAAAGACATAAACAATCTTTCTTGGGAAAAGAACAGTTTTCTCAAAATATGCAAAAACATTAAGATATTTCTCCCTAGTTTGAGATTATGTATAGCATAGCAGTCACAAACAGTTGCGTATCTAGCCTTCTAGTAAGCCGGTGGGGAAGATGTGGTGTCGGTGGTGGAGTGACGCCGCTCTGACAGGTTGCCATGAGCATCCCAGGTTGCTTAGATCTGAGCAAATAAGTATGTATGACCTTTACACATCTCCCTGCCCAGCTCTTAGCAACCTGGGACCCTCTGGCTGGAAAGAGGACAGCAGGTACACTGCAAACATTCCGCTTTGTCTACCACCCCCTCCCCTAGATGACCCAAAGAGAAGCCGCCTGAGGCAATAGCCTCGGGCTGCCTTATTAAAGGGATAGCCCTGGTCACAAAAGAAAACAGACGTATGAAACTAACGATACATTAGTAGTCATATATGTGGAAATCCCTCACCTCAGCTGGACAGGTACCTGAGGGCCTGTTACGATTGTTGAGCTGAATACCACAGAATTAAAGACCCACAGGTACAGTTTGAGTGTGTTAACAAAGTGTTCTAGGACAACAACTATTATTGCTGGTTATGGAAATCAGTCCCAAACTGATGTGTGCAGGGGAAACTGGGGACATACCTTTATTTCTTTGGTACATGACAGAGCAAGCACGATGCAGCAGGGGAGAAAACTGGACCAGGATGTGAACCATATTAGAGTGAGATGCAGGCCTCAAATGTTAGCTCACCATATGTCTGCATCTGGGACTTTATTTATAAAACTCCAGGATTTTAAAAAAATTAACCCTTGTCTACCCCCTCACTGAAAGTGCTAAACGCTCATTCAACAGGGCAAAAAAAGAAGACTTACTCACCTGATCCTCGTCCTGCGGCATTGACCTTTCTCCCCCTCCTCTCCGGCTGTGAGCACTTAACCTTTTCATTGTGGGGCGAGCACCATTGCAAGGGTTAATTTTTAAAATCCAGGAGTTCTTTGAAATACACAAAATCTGGAAATAGAAACATTTTGCTTTTCAAGACTTACCTGATAGACTCCGGCCATGAATGTTACTGTAGCTCCTACCCTAATCGCATAACAGCTTTTATCACATTCCATCGTTAAAGTCTGATTGATATTAAGTGTCTCATTTCCTACTAAAACATTTACGGAATGGCTTCCTTGACCTTCCAGTTTGTCGTAACCTGCGGCTTGCAGTTCCCGGTCCACAACTTCACCCACCATTAAACAAAGTACTCCAAATATTCCAACGTGAATATGTTTAGAGGTTCCCATTAAGAAATAAATAATGCAGGCAAAGAATGAGGTGTAAAGGCCATAGATGGGCTCCTGATTAGCAAGAAGTGAATAGGCTATAGACTGCGGAACCAGCAGGATGCCCACTATAAGTCCAGACATGGAATCTCCCAGTAGGTTTTCTTTTAGTTTGTATTTGGGTAGCCATCGTAGCACAGGCAGGAAACCGAAGAAAGTGTCTTTGGCTTTACTAGGTGAGCAGCTACATGTCTCCTTAATTTTTTTGGCTACTTGTTTTTGTAGAGGAATTGTTTTCTTCTCCTTTTCTTCCAGCAGTATAGAACCTGGAGGATGAGGGCTCCTGTGAATGGCTTGGAGATTGTCATTGACTTCACTATTCATCTTGAATTATTTTCTGAAATAATAAAATAAATTGTGAATTGCTTTGAGACCAGGAATCATGCTCTGCAAATGCTCAGTAATTGTCAAATTGACATCATACAGTATATACTGCATTCAGCATATAACATGCTCTATAATATATTGTGTTTAATGCTTCCTTACATGCTTTGTGTTGTTAATGATTATTACAGTAATTACTGTCATACAGTCCTTTAACTTTATTTAATCCACTTCCTTCCTGTCTCCAGCTAGCACTAAATGATATGGATGTAGTCATATACTAATCTTCTGTTGCCAAAGAAACCTAAATATGTATTCCTCTTCTGCCAAATACATTCTAATCTGTGCATATACTAATGAAAATTCAGCACATGGAATTTATCACCCATTCTACCAGAAAGGGGCAAATGTACCCAAATGTTTGTGAAAAGAGGTCCTGCACTACCACCTACAGATCATGGGGAAACGCTTCATCTCTGATTGGGACACACCATAGTATTTCACGCTTGTGTTCACAATTGTCAATTTTCTTGTGGTAAAACATCAGTATTTATTGATCTATGTTATTATACCGAATGGCAATAATGAAGTAAAACTACCAAGAACCCTAGCTAATATTCTGGCCATGGTACTCCACTGTGTAAATTAATACATTTTTAGAACAATTTTGACATAGTCATGTAACATACTCATGTGAATGAGATCCTATTGGTTGGAAGAGCTATGTTCATTGCACTTTGTTATCTGTAAATTCAACATTGCTAAATTAGCACTGCAGTTTACAGTCAATTAAGGGCTCACCCAATATACATTGACTGGCTAATGCTTAACTTCTGGCAAAACATTTTCTTTACTTTAGGATAAGGTGTGGAAGGGTTACAATCTTTTGTCAACATTTCATTGCATTCTGTGTTTCATTTGGGAGATTTCTTCTCAGCTTTTGTGTATTTGATGTTGGGCAAGAAGTAGAGGCATTTTACCATACTTGACCTATTTGAAAATATGTCACAGGACAGGAAATTAGGGAAAATCGTCCAACTTGTGCTCTCTCTGACAGTGGGTTTGACTTGGCTTAGTGAATGAGGTGGCACAGTGCTGACTTCAAACATCCAATCACTTGTATGGTATTAAAAAGTCCTGTTGTTTTAATTTTCCATGCACATTTTCCATGTGTATTCAAAGAGAACACAGTTTCCCCTCATTCACTAACCTAAGTAAAAATACCATTGCAAAGTGAAAATTTACTGTGCAAGGTGACCATGCTTTACTCCTTTACTAAATCAACCCCATTATGTCAGACATTACAGAGGGTAAGTGAGAATCCCTTTACGTCATATCTATTTCACAGGTGGCAGACAGAACAGGAAGTGGGGAAAATCTGCCCACTTGCTGTTTATTTGACAATGTGTCAGACAGAACATGAAATGTGGGGAAATGTCTCTACTTCCTACTGACAGACACAATAGAAAGTGATGGAAAATGATATTAACAGGGACACCCACAGCAAGCATAACTCATTTTCCAGCAGAGTGAAGAAAGTTTACTGTAGATATAATTTCTATTGGTAGACAGCATTTTAAACCTGACGTTAGTTCTAAGCCTTCCCCACTGTATCCAAGACTAAAAAATAAAATAATTTGGGTGAAATTGGGTTTTAATGCGAGAGAAGGATCTTACAATCCCTTAATTCTTTTAATAAACACTTTATTTCATGTGTGGTCAGCTTTACTGTGTAGAAATCTAGAAATCGTTGTTACTGTTGACAAGTAGCAAGTGCAAATGATCACTTTATCAAGTGAAATGTCTATCTAAAGCAAGATGCAAAAGATTAGACGTTAGTATCGTTACACCCTGCAGAGCTGAAACAATGTACTGGGAAAGTAATCTTTGTAAAGCTCTTTTGTTTTGTTCAACACTGATGATTTTTTTAGGCTCCCAAATGATGTGTTCATTTTCAACCTGCCAGCTCTACTCCCTGCAGAAGGTCTTTATGAGGATTTGACCCACTTCCCCCTCACTCACCCTCATTCACCGTTTATCCATAGAGTTTTCTGTACAGAATACTTTTTTCTTTTTTAGCTGCTAGGTGCTGCAGCAAGTGTTAAAATACTCTGAGCGTGCAGCACGTAGAAGAGTTGGACCGCTCATCTCATACATAACACAGCTGCCAGAGTCTCCAGTGCTCTGACCTGGCCCCCTGCATACTACCCCAATCAACTGCTTGAGCGCTGACTCTCTTACATTCTGCCGCCACAGAGTATTTTAACCCTTGCCAAAGCACTTGGCATTTATAAAAATAAAGAGCAGTATACAGCTACAGCAATAGCTCAAGAGGGTAAAGTTTGGCTTTAAAGCAACCCTGTTACTTTCAACAAGGTTAAAATACCCCGTGCTGGCAACATGTGTTAGAGTTGGACTGCTACTTTCACACACAAAACAGCTGCCAGGGTCTCCAGTTGGGCTGCAACTAATGATTATTTTCATAATCGATTAGTTGGTCAATGATTTTTTCGAATAATCGGATTTAAAAATTAAATAAATACCATCCTTAATTTAAAATAAAATACACAAATGCAGTGTTACAAACAAAGTTTACTTCAGAATAAAACTGCATGCAAAATGTTTTACAATCGCACTGCACTGAAACGTACGGCATTGCGGTACCATCCGCTCCAGTGCGGGCAATCGCACTGTGGGTGGAAGGCGCATTTGGGGTGCCATTGAAATGAATGGAACTGCAACGCACCTCCCACAGCAGAATTTGTCAGGACAAAACCGAAAATTACTTTTTCTTACCACAGACGGCAACTGAATGTAAGCAGGTTGTGGGCTGGTGCACTAGCCAGTCTGCTATTGGCCATTTCAAATTGCAATAGCCAATAGGAGGCCGGCTATTGCATCGCCCACTGCTTGCTGTGCCCTCCTCCCAGCATGGAGGAGAGAGCCAGAGGATCCAACCAACCAATCGATAATGAGAATAGTTGACAACTATTCTTATAATCGATTAGTTGGTTGCTGGCCTAGTCTCCAGCGTTCTAGCATGCCCCCTTGCACCTACCCCAATCAACCACTAGAGAGCCGACTCATCTACATGCCAGCACAGGGTGTTTTAGCCCTTGCTGCAGGACTTAGTATTTATTAAAAGAAAAGAAAATAAGAACATTATATGTATTTCTGTATATGCAGCCTGAGTGCTTTACAGTCCTAAATTAAGAAGGTTAAGTTTGGCTTTGCAGCAACCCTGTCACTAGTATAAAAGGCTGGAATAGTGTCACTGTGTAAAAGAAGGAAAGAGCCCAACTACTAGCCACTATGTCACTACTGTGTTCTGTAGAGCTGTAGGGGTCAGCAGGAGGAGCCACAGCATGCAGCAGGCGATAGACTATACAACACACCTAAAAGTGCCAGATAGCAGTGGCAGGAGAGTGTAGACTTGAGTAGCTGCCCACCAGAAAAAATGTAATACATTTTCACTACCTGACAAGTATTACCAGGGCTTGAAAAATCCACTCGTCTGTGACGAGAGGAAGGTGGAGCCCGACGAGCAGCTTCCCGGCCTGCTGTTGTAATTACACGGCCGGCCGGGAGCTTTACAGTCAAGCGATCGGGCGTCTCTATAGAGGCTCGATCGCTTGTATCAGCAGCTGTCACTGCCGTTGCCGGTCCCGAGATCCGCTGTGCCCGATGCGGCCGGGACCGGCACGGCTCTGTGACAGGAGATCAAAGGGAGTTCAGTATACGAACTCCCTTTGATCTCCTCTCAGTCCCCGAATGCAGAAAATGATGTATATTACATCCCTTCCTGCATTCAGTGTCACTCTCCAGCTAGAGAAGCTGACGAAGCCGATCTCTGCTTCATCAGCTTCTCTGGGATCCCTAGGTGACATTAGGGGTCTTCGAGACCCCTGATGTCTCCATAAAGAGGACCTGTCATGTAAATTGGCTATCCCATAGGGGGCTTCTTAGCCCCCCATGTAATAGCAATAAAGTTGTGTGTAAAAAAAAAAAGTAATACACAAATTAAAGAATCATTAAAAAAAAAAGTGTTTTGCGATTTTGCGGGCGCACGTAATTTTAAGGCTTGACATGTTTGGTGTCTATTTACCCGACGTGACCCCGACTTTTATGTTTTAATAAAATATGGGTAAGAATAAATGTTTTATAACATAACTTAGGGAAACTTTTTTTTTTTTACATTTATGGTACTTTTTTCATTATATAGTAAAAAAAAAAAATACCCCCCCTCCCCACCGCCCCCGTGGTGATTATATACCTCCAAAAGAAAGCTCTATCTGTACCCAAAACTTTTTTACATAAATTGCAAGGTTGACTGTCATGCTGACTGGTGAAATTTCTGACTGACTGGTGAGACACCATCAAATTTTTCAAGCCTTGAGTATTACTATTCTTATTTTACACGGTGGCACCATTTCTGTTTTTTTATAGTAACAACAGGGTTACTTTAAGTGTGAAATTAAGTGAAGTGAAGATGTGTGCATTTCAAACATCAAATCATGTCCACAGGTATGGAAAAAAAAAAGATTAGACGTTTACATTGAGCGCAGCTTGGCTTAACCCTCACTTTACTCTTCAGTAAATCAAGTTTTAGGAGTTATAATGACCAAGTGATTGAAAACATCAGTGCACCGTATAAAGCCCTAATGCATTTACAGCCAGGGAGATTACCACATCGTATCTGAATAACTTAATTGGCAATAAATGAAATCTAGTAAGTCAGCAACAACAAATAGTAGCTTGGAAATAATCCATCATAAGAAAAATGTTGGCAGACAGCTTTAACCAAAACAAAATTTTAATTGGCAATAAAGTACTTAATCCTATGAATCACTGGAATTATTATTATTAATTGTTAAATACAACACAAAATGTAATCACCCATTTTGGGTGGGTACGTGTGGCTCAAATCATCCACCAGCCTTTTATATGTCTTAAAGGCACCAGACACTCTCAAAGTACTTTAGATGTCTATCCTTTCCCACATGGCCATAATGA